AAGAGTCCTTCTCAACAATAAACCTGACCGACCGAGGTCGGGTCAGGTGGTTGGTGGAGCTCATCCAACCAACCAAAAGATTCACAAATAATCAAAACTTTTAAAAATTCAAAACCGTCAATGAAAACTAAAAAACGTAGAAAATGAAAACAATACTCACAAAAAAACGCGCACACGACAACACTAATCGCTGGAGAGAAGGCTGGTCCAAGTAGTGTACCACACATGCAGATCCAGGCTCGGCCCCACTGAAGATCTGAAAGAAAGAAGACCGCTATTTAATGTGTTGATTTGATGATTAAGAAACTGGTGTTATCAAACTGAGACGTCAATAATATGTATACAGATCGTTCACTTGCAAACACACTTCGGGTGCTTGATACATTAAATATTAATTCAATTAATTCTTTATTTATTTACTTATTTTTAGCGAAATTGGTTTGTCAGATATCATTGTTGTGAAGTGAAAAGGCCCAAACTGTCGTAGTTAACAAAAAACCATCATGTGCTGCCATCTAGCGACGGTAAGCAAAAATATTATGAAATGTAGAAGTATTTCTCTTGAGTAGTGGTTTTCCTTTTTGTTATTTTCTCACAAAAACACGAGTAATAGGAGAAGATAATAACATTGCTCTTATATACAAATTGGGCGGGCAATTTTTTCACATCTTGCCTATTTATAATATATGTAAGTCACTTGTATTGAAATTTGTTTTATCAAAATTTTACTTAACTTATATTTCTGTTTAATTTCGAAATTCAGTGTTTGATGAAAGTGATTTATTGCTAATTTAAAATTATGAAATTTAGATGAACCTTGTTATTTTACATTTAACAAATTTCGTGTAAATCACTTTCATAAAATTTTAATCATATCTTTTTGTTTCTAAAATATGGTGCTGCATTACTAATATATCGCTAATAAACAATACAGTAACTAATATTTCATGTTTGATTTATTAGGTAACTTTGATGCTCTAATAGTTTGTTTGATTATATTGCTGGGCTACACAATAGACTATCTGCATTCTGTCCACCACACGGAATTGAACCCCGGATTTTAAAACCGTAAGTCCGTAAATTTACCACTGACTTACCGTGAGATCTATCATGTATATAGATATATCATATATGGCTATTTTACGGTCTTCTTAATATCAAACAAGTTAAATTCAGTGTTCCAACATAAACACTATATATAATATTACGAATGCAATCACTCATATATAAAACGTAATTCGCGTGAACTATTTTGTAGAACTTATCTGAAAAACGTTTAAAAGTAGTTACGAATCGAATCTCAGATCAAAATAAAATATTTTCAGATATAAAGACAGAAAATCATTCTTAAATAGTTGTATATGAATTTCAATGTAATTCTAGAAATATTTTTCGAACACTAGATGGCTAGAATAAGGCATAAAGGAACAAGCAAAGGTAGCCTTACATCATGTTATCTTTAAAATTTTCGCTAGAGGTCGGGACAAGAAGAATTTGTATATATAAAAAGGGACGTTATTGATCACAGAGCTTACCAAGATGGACAGGGCAACTAATTTTTTACTAAGTTATATTACGTTTTCTTCAGGTCTGCTGCAAACAATAAAAATACAGTTAATTAAAACGTTCGACTTGTAATGTAACACTAAAATATTAAAAAGTTCCAGTTTTATTGTAAAATTACAGTAAAGGCACGATTTATTAAAACGCTTAGTATACTTTAGTACTAAACCCCTGGTGGCTCAGCGATAAATCTGAAGGCTTATAACGTTAGAATTAGTGTTTTGTTAACCACAGAGGGAAGAACACAAATAGTTCAACGTGTGTAGCTTTGCGCTTAACAACAAACAAAGTGTGGAACATTGCAATTGTGACTTACAAAACAACGCCACCTATACTTTATTTGGTGAGGGAGAAATCTTGTAGTTCTATTATGAATATGTTTCTCTTGGTTGAACTGATACATATTAGTTCTTTACATCGCCACGAGGTGGCAACACTCACTATTGAATCCAGGAGCTACACTTTTTTTTATTTTCAAACATAATAACACAATATGCCATCACAATAATAGTTTTAAATTATACTTCGTTCCACTATAAATTTTAGTATATGGTAAGTGTACTAATGGTAATAAGAACATAGGTTTTATTTTAGTGTATTCTTGTCTACAGGTAGTTTAGGTAAAAATTACTTGTTTAGCAAGGTTTGAGAGTTCGAGCCACAATTCGGTTGTCAGACCACTCTGAGATGTTGAAACTACATTTTTGTAGCTAAAGGTCTGCATTATGATTGGTCGTTTCGTTACCTCATCACTAAAACTTCGAAATGTTGTTCCAATTCACTTGAAACGGTTCAGGTAGGATTTCGCGATAATTCGATTCTATGTTATAAAAACAAAAAAAGCTGTACTTTTAGGGTTATTTAGTTTCAGTTGTTTGTTGGTTGTTAATATGCAATTTCTAAATTAGAAATATTCAAAGTTTCATTAAATCTTTCAAGTTTGCAGAGAATTCCTGAAAACATACAATACCAGAAAGGAATACAACAATTCTGGTTAAGTGAAACAGACGTTTTCTAACTCCAGTATCTTAGAAAATCTTTATTATTCCAAAAACCAATGACGACATTTATCTGGCTAATCACAACTGAATGATGTAACCAATCAGAAACTTCTGAATAAACAACGTTTTATTAGAAATGTCGAAAACAACTGATTGACAGTCAACCCGTTTCATGTAATTTTATTATAACTCCATATCTCTAGCTGTTGGATCACTGCGTAAAAAGAATATAAATTATTTTCAACACACTCAAACAACCATAACAACAGTTCGATATGGTTTAATAACTCCAAGGAACTTTCACTGTTTTTAAAAAATCGCTGATTGGATTCATTTTCCACTGTTGAAGTAATGCAAATAAAGTAAAGTTTTTAACTTAACGAATTTGGACTAAAAATTGTCTTGTTTTTGAATGAATGTAAAAAATGATGATAATGATAAATTTACAAAAAGATATAACTTGCTTAGCAGAAAACATCCCTCTCTCAGTAGCACAGGTGTTCGTGCATCTAGGTAGTGGAAACAGCTAACTATAGACGACAGAAGTGTTTAACGTTTCGTGCTACACCACGTAAAGGTCACCTTCATCGTACTAACAAGTTCTAGTGTGACCTTGTTCAAAGTGTAGATGATAGAGTGTAGTGTTGGTTTCATGTTTGCAATGTATCGCGTCATCCATCAAGAAGGTTTTGTCATAATTTAGTTGATATTATTTATTTCCAAGATAATTAAATGCTAATCGAAGGTTAAGTAGTTTCTTTTGCAATAATTAAATCTTCACAACTTCTGTCCTCTGCATTTACAATGTGAAAAATTAGCACGTGACTAATCAGTTTGTATAGTTGTATTTATGCAACATTACCTGAAATGAAAAGTTACAACTCTGAATAATATTCTAATTTCTCTTTCAAAATTATTTTGTATATTACAACTTTCTCACTGAATGTTTAGTGTGTATACGAATCAGTAAACATAGTTCTGGAAGACAGCTGTAAACCTGATGCTTGAATGTAGCTGTAGCATATAATTGCATTAACTTAGCTGAAATATATCGTTACATAAACGGTGGCATATTGTTGCATGAATGTAGCTGTGAACAGATTATCGTATGGGAATAGCTATGAGCCTAAACACGAAGCCAACATTTCATGTGGTTAAAATAACTTTCACATATTTTGATATTTATTAATCAACAATTTCATTTCGAATACTTTTGGAGCAGAGAAAAACCATTTTTTTTTATCATCATCCTCTTTCCTCGCTCCTTCACTCATTATGACAAATGGTATAAGAGCTAGAGGAGAAAAACTCTTTTATTATCTCTATATATTTAAAAACTCTTTTTATTCTCTCTAATCTCTAAATATTTAAAAACTATTTTATTCTCTATAATCTCTATATATTTATTAATTTATTTTTATACATTTCAATTCTGTTTATAAAAGGATTTAAATCATTTAGTGAGTTGGACAAATAAATGGCAGATGGGTTTTAATTATAATAAATGCATGTGGGTTATCATAATTTG